GCCATTTGATTTTAATGAATAATGCTGTAGTAGTCATGAGTGAAAGAAAGGCTCTATCCAGCGATGAGGATGCTCTGGCACCTTGTTCCTGTTCCTGCTGAAGCTACTGCTCACAGATTGAAGGAGATGGATTCTTTCACAAAATTATATTGAAACTTGCCTCTGCTAGATGGGACCCTCACCACCTTAACTTCAAAAAGTTATATGCTTCAAGATTAATAGTCCTATTTAATGATGAATTTTGGAGATGTTATGCTAGTTCCATCTGTAATGCAGTGGTTTTGATGTGTTATCTTTAACTCTTTCACTGAATTCAATGTTTTATATTTCTGCCAAAGTTATCTCAAAATGAATTCTGTGAATATCTTTGTGGCAAATTCCTTGAACGCTCTTGAAGGCCAGCTACCATCTGGAGAGCCACTAGAAAAAGGTAGAAAAATGCTGTTTGAAACCTCTCTGAATAATTTCAGGCATTGTACCAGTAGTCTCAAATGTATTCCCATTAAGGCTGGCTTCGTTATTGGCACTGTGTACCCCTATCATCCCAGTCTACAGGGGATATTCACAGGGAACATAAAAGGATTTCTGCAAAATGATATTTCTAAAGGAAATTCTTTGCGTAGCAGCCCCTCGTACTCGCAGATGCTGTTTTTAATGCAGCCATATTCAGCCCTGGCCTTGTGATTGTACTGAAGTAAAATGTTCGGGCTGAATTGTTTTGCCTTTGAAACAGTCCACAACCAAAAACCCTCGGGGAAAAATGAGTGTATAATTTTCTCACTATTTCAAACCTCATAAGCACCAAGAAAAATAACATGATTCATTATTTTGGAGTGTGTTGATTAACTAGCAATTAAAGCTTTATAGTATTTGCTTTCTGAGACAACAAAGGCCAGTTTAATGCCTTTACTTTAGTTTCAGCTCATTGGACTGTCTTCATACCTGGTGTAGATAGATAAACTCTCTGAAAGCATATGAAGTACCTGCATGCAGCTGAACATGGCCCACTTAGCTCAGAAATGTGATGGGTGTTCACGGAAGGAACTTTCATTCATTCACAGCATCTGGTTCCATTACATTCAGCCCAATCAAGCTCTGAAATTGAAATTAAATGACTTTCGATGGTAGTAATGTAAGAACTGGGGGAAGGGAAATATCTGCATGGCAGAGGAGGCTCTTAGTGAGGACAAGCCATGTGAAATGCCTTGAAATTGTTTCACAGAAATGACTGGATGCACCAGAAGATGAACTTGGAGCTATCTCATGTGTCCAGAGTGCATTTCACCTCCATTTTAGGGTCTGGATTGTCTCTCTAGCGCTGGCAGTGCTGTAGTATAACCCCTCCCTGCCCAGGCTGTTAGGCCAGCTCAAGGCTTCCTGATGGGTGACGTGCTAACGCCCTCCCCTGCAGCAGGGCTGCTGCTCCCCCAGCAGTGCTGCTGCCACCCCACATCCACGGAGCCATCCCAGCACTGCTCCTGGCTCTTGTTGTGGCAGTGCTCTCGTGCTTGGTCCCAGTGAGCTAGGAGATCCGTGCACTGGGATGGGGCAGGATTCCTGGGCTAGTAGGAAGAGTTCCTGCCTGTGGCAGGGCATTGGAATTAGATGATCCCTAAAGTCCCTTCCAACCCAAACCAGTCTGTGATTCTGTATCTGCCAGGGGCAGAGCTCGCCCCAGCTCGCTGCACCGGGGATTCAGGCAGCACAGGAGCTGTGCTGGGGGGAGAGGCTGGGTGGCAAAACAAGAGCCAGCAGGAGGAGGAAAAGTAGAAAAGAAGAGTAGATAGAGGGCGTTATGCAGAACCAGAATAAAATCAGCAAAATCTGGAAACTTGCCTTGGCTTCCAGCAGCTCAACCAGCTCTGCACTGCAGCGCGAGCAGGGGAAGGTGGTGTTTGTGTGCGGCTGTTGGGAAACACCAGCTGGAAGAGCAGGGTGTTGCAGTGTTGCTTTCTACTTTGAGATCCCTGGTAGCCTCTGTGCTTGATGAGAAGTTTAGTGCAGCTTCTAAGTCCCTATATTTATTTTTGCTGCCGTTACCTCAGTTGTCTTTCATTGTGCAGCCATAATTTTCCAATTAACTGCATGCAGTAAGGTAAGATATATACCACAGGTGCATTCTTTATACACATTAACAATATAGTATAATATAAGGTGTAATGAATTAGATAATGTATTTTGTTATCATAGAATCATAGAATGGGTTGGGTTGGAAGGGACCTTAACAATAAATCGTATACATATTGTGTAACGTATACAATACGTATGTGCATAATATTCATATTGAAATATTGGGGTTTGGAGGGCCAAAGATGTTGAAGTCTGTCTAGGCAGCTGACCATTAAAGGTGTCAGTGCTCTGGCATGTTTGCAGCAAAGCTGTTGACCAGCACAGGGCAGCTTTCTGAGTCATGGAAAGAGCAGCTCTGCGCAGACATACCTGAGCCAAGCTCATACACAAGATAACTGCTGGGAAATGCGGGCAGACAGTTTCCCAGGCTGAGCTGCTAGGCCCACGTGAGGCTTGGACTTTGCTTAGGGGAACGGGGATATGCTGAAGATTATGGAAACACCATGCAGCTTGTAGACACAGCTGCTGTTTCTGCACTGCAGAAGTTACCAGAGCTCTGGGTGGCATCTCCAGGGCACTTTCCCCATCAGTAGAGTGCTAACACCCTCCCACGTCCAAGAGCGTGTTGTCACAGTGCCAGTAGTAGGATCACTGATGAGAATACAGCAGCAAGTCCTGGTCTCAAAGAGTTTGCTGGGGGTGTCCCAAAAGGAAACTGGGAGGTTCTGCCCTGCCACCTGTGTGTTTGCTGGGCACCAAGCACCAGCTCCAGGCCTGATTCACAGCCTGCTGTGATGGAGAGAATCGATCCCCAGTGTCAGCATGTTCCTGCTGTTGTGGCCAAGCTCTTGGCAAGCCACTGGCACCAGAGCAAGCTTCAAACGAACACCTTGCTTGCTTTCTGCTGGCACAACAGGAAAAACGGAGGGTAAAAACACAGAAGCACTAATAACAGAAGCACAGGACTAGCTAACTACCACCTCCCACCTCCTCGTGGCTCTTCCAGGCTCGGCTCAGGGACAAAATGAGGCCTTTATTCACCAAGATCCCAGGAAAGAGCAGGATTTCCAGCAGCCACACAGGTACTGGTGGGGCTCAAGGCCCTGGCCGCCCACAGCTGTGTGACACGGGTGTCCCCACCTGGAAGGGGGCCAGGCAGGAGGACGACTTGCTGCAGCCCCCCCGGGCAGCTCTGTGCTGGTGAAAGGGAGCGCAGCTGGGGTCTGCTCCCCCAGCTGGTACCGGGCCTGTCACACAGAGCAAGTGCTTCGTTCCCACTCTCTCAATTCCTCATTGCCTCTAATGATAAACTGCATTTCCACAGCAGTTTCCCTGGTCCTGAAGCAAGCTGCATGCAGCTGTTGTGTTTCCTGTTTATGCTCAGTCCCCGAATTAGTCACCTCCACAGATTTTATCGGAACAGTTTCACTCTTGCTTTTGAGCAAGATGGTTTTTGTGCTTGTAAAGGAAGGATTTAAAAGAACACGAATCCATCTAGGCTCGTGTGTAGCAGCCTCAGCTGGCTGGTGCTGTGCAGCTGTCGAACAGGCAGGCTCCTGCTCCCTCCTGCCCACAGTAAGGGCTGGGGGGCTCACCTCAAACCCTGATACACCTTTTCCTCCTGTCTTCTTGAAGCAAAATACACACGTATGCTGCCCTCTAGCCAAGTCAGGATTTAAACAGTTCATTTAATTGCCAAACTTTCAATTAAATAAATGAAGAAAAGATTTCAAGACAGGAGAGGATGGCAGTATTTCCATGAGGTGTTGAATTTCTCACTTTGATACAGGTGTGTTACTGTTTTCCTATTTATTTTTTTTTTCTTCTTTTCCCTGAGTGCATTAGGACATAGCATTTATTTTTCTAGGTTAGTGGGTAAGATCCCATGCAAATTTTTCCTGAAAACATGCCTGCTTTCCTTGTCCAGGAACAGCCTCCCTTTTCATGTCTATATTTAGCCATCTCATAAACATGGACAGTTCCTAAAAAACAACGTCTTTCCCTTTATGCAGCCAAGTCTGCCAGAAACAAGTCCAGAGAAAGCAGTTTCATTTACCACACTGTTTCTCTAGCCTTACTATTTTTGGAGGTGTTTTCAATGGCAAATGCACAGAAAGCAGAAGCCATTTCAGTTCCAGGCATTAAAATCAAGTTCCCCCACATTAGCTGAAGAATGAATTTTACAACACATCACTCTTACTGTCTTACCTGAAATGAATGATTTAACTGATGACTATAATTTAAATCAAAATACTGCAGGCTTAGCTTAGGGGAAAAAAAGGGGAGGGGGGCTTAAATGAGAAACAAATATAGATTGGAACTCTGAATTTTGTTTTCTGATGCTGATTTTCAAAATAATGACTGTATTTCCTCCTGCTGTGCATATTCTACAACACCAGTCCCCCAAGGCAGGTGTCACCCTGCTAGTCCTGACACGGCTCCGCTTCCCTTGGTTGGGGAGGTGATGGGCACCTTGCCAAGGGAGACTTCTGGATGAACGCAGTCCACCTCCTCTGGTGTGTAATTAGGCAGGCCTTTTCCCACACAAATAAGTACCTGCATGGTTATGAAAAAAAAAAAAAAAAAAAGAAAAGAAAAAAAATAAAATAAAAACAGCACAGAGAAGAGATCAGCTAATAAGACCAAGCATGAGTGGGAAGACAGCAAGTGCTCTGTGTATAAATACCTGCTACTCAGAAAAAGAGTAGGGCAAAGCATGCTGCTCCGCAGGGCTTTCTCATTAGGAAGGACTTCCCATGGAGGGGAAGGCTGCCTTCCTCCTGACTTGAGGAAGAAAGCTGTTGTCTTGCAGTACATCAGCACCTTCCAGGATCTGCACAACAGATGCGTCCCAGACCTGTCCTCGCCAGACCGCCCCGAATCTCACTTCGCCACCAACAGAGACCTTTGTTGGGCTGCCCACCACTTCACCAGCAGTTATATTTGTGTTCCTTTGTCCAAAATACGCTGTTGTGAGTGGCAGTCATTGCCTAGGCCTCCCCCCTACAAGACACAGAGAAACTCAAGAGCGCTTCTGCATCCTGTTCCTGTGCAATGTTGGGTGCTGAGAACCAACCCGAGCCGTGTTGCACAGCGAGGTGCATGCAACAGCATTGTCCTAACTTCTATGACTTCTTATTCACAGGTTTTAACAAATAGTATGTGAGCAAACGTGTGTAACTCATCTGTCATACCATATTTATCCTGGATCAGAGGCTGTTTTGCACGAAAGCTGTGTGAAGTGAAGCCTGAGAGGCTGCATGTGGCTGCCTGAAGCCAGAGGTTTCCAGGGCAGGGCAGCGCTCCTGGCTGCCAGGCTGCAGCGTGAGGTGCCAGAAGCGTCGTGGTGAGAGTGAGAGTAAGGTGCGTGTGAAAGGCCCCAGTCACATCTGCTTTTTCTTGTTCCAGCTGCATTTTCTCGTGATGTAGCAGGGAGCCACCTTGGTTTTTACAGGGTCCCAACCTGTGGGATGGTTTTTCTTCACATGTACGTTTGGTGATTTGTAGAGAGCACGAAGATTTCATTAATCACAGAAATGTTTATACAAGATGAGAGGCTCTTTTAGTCTGTGTGTCTGTGTCTGACAGATGAGGCTGAACTTCCCTGAATGCCAGGATAGCCACAAGAGGAGCCTGCAGTCATCGGGTTGGTGGTTGGAGCTGAGCTCTGTGACGGGTGTCACAGCACCTCTCAGCCAGAGCAGATCCCCTTCAGCAAGGCAGCAGGGAGTTCTGGTGCATCTGCAGGCAGTCTGTTAGATATGGGTAGTTAGTGCTGACTTGGTAGCCTTAGCAGTAACAGATTATTATGCACAGATATACACTAGCCCATCCATCTGTTAATTATCTTCCCTGCTCCCTGATCCACTTAAAAGGTGGAATATTTTTCTCAGCTGTACATGTCATGTATTTATGCTGGAAGCGAACGGGTGATACAGATTTAGTGCTTACTTTGTTTAGAAGAAAAGAATGGTTTTCTTTTGTCTTAAGTGTGTTTTCATTTTAATGTAACATAGGTTGAATTGTGAATAGGTTTTCAGAAAGCAAAAACAAGGCTTTGTTTGGAGTCTGCAGGCTTTGGCTGGAAAATGCAAATCTCTTTCTTTCTTTGTTCCTGAGCAAGAATAAAATGCCAGGGTTATGTGGAATCAGTTACAGAGTTGTCCCAGTTGGTTGTTGCAGAGCAATTAGCTTGGTATCTGGAGGCCAGATCTTCTCATGTGCCCAAGCACTTGAACTTGCAGCTTCACTCGGAAGGTGCCATCCCAGTTGTGCTGTTCACTGACTCTTGACATGCAGAAGTACTGAATGATAAAAAATATTTCAGTAATGACTTGGGTGTGATGGGGAGGGAACGGAAAAGTACTAAAACCCATTTTTGCCCAGTGTGGAATTTAATTGTAGTCCCGGGTACCACCCTAACACAAAGGGAGGAAGAAGAGAAGCAGGAGCTAGTTGGGACAGGGAGCCAGGGAAGAGAGGCACTTGGGCTCATTTAGCACAGCTGAATCCCTGTTTGATAAAAAGAATGTCAATCTGTTAAATACTTATGCTGCGGGAGTCATTATCCCTTTGCTAATCTGGGTGTCAGGCTGCCTGGGGCCTGGTGGGGTGAAAAGGAATACAGAAGCCCCACACTTACCTGGAACAAGCCACGCATGGCATGCAGGGCTGGAGCAGAGCGGTGCAGCTGCCCCACGCTTTCCAGCATCGCAAGGAAATGCTGTCCAGTGGTCCTGCTGGCACTGCTTGTTGTGCTGGCACCTGGTTTTGGGGGATATGGCAGGCAGTATGGATTTTCTCTTCCACGCTGAAGGTCCTTATATTGCAGTAAAGAAACAAATAAGAAGAAAAACTTAAAAAAAAAAAAAAAAAGAACTTGTGAATCTCTGTGTAACTTCAAATGCACCCCAATCAAAAGTGCCTCTGGGTATGCTGAGCTATGAAGAATAGCATTAAAAGGGTAAGTAAGCTAGACCATGGCTTGTAAAGAAAGTTCATCGGTAGCACAGACCCTTTGTAATTTCAGATATGAAGTCTCTTCTGGGAGAACAGTAACTAAGGATCCCAAAAGATATAGCATGACTTTCAAAGACTATGTTTATAAAAAAAAAAAAAAAATTGGTAAAGGATAAAAAAAACACAGAAACAGACCAAGCTGTATGCCTCATCCTTTCTGTGTAACCCAGAGGTGATTAGAGACTTCCTGTGAAGAAGCAAACCGTTATATGTAGATGGTAGAAAAGATGTGAATAACCACATCTTAGAAGAAACATTTGAGGTTTTTCTTAAAAAAAAAAAAAAAAAAAAAAAGGCTGGTAAGGACAAATCTGCCAGAGAGGTAAATGTAAAGAAAAAATTAAAGAAAACCTGTAATCATTCCCTAGAAATGAGATCCCTGCTGTAACAATTAATTCATAAAGCTGCCAAAGACTTTCAGGCCTGTGGGAGTCAGCCTGGCATACATGATTAATGCTAACTGCAGGTGTGTGGCTGCATTTCCGAATAACCAGCCGTAGGGGAGGCATCAGAAATTACTTAACCCTGCCCAAGTGGGCTTTGTCAAGAGACCCCCTACGAACAGATAACAAGAGGAAAATTGTAATTTTACAGCAATTCAACAGGTAATGTCGAACGCCTCTTGGGGCGCTTTCTGCTTCAGCAGAGGAAAGGCATTAGATATGATGGAAGGGCACTCTCCATGTCACAGATCTGAAGGGATTCAAAGTCCCTCAGTGTAGCTTCCTGGTTGTCCTGGGCAGCTTCAACTGGGGAACAATACAGGTAAGAGTCCATTATCTGTCTGTGTTTTCTTCTTGCAATCCTCACTGGAAGATCCACTCGCAGGAGGTGAGGCAGTGGCTCGTCAAGCTGTGTTTGAGGCCCCCACTGCTCAGCGGGGTGTGCATGGCTCAACCCCACAGCTCAGCGCCTCACAAGGGGAAAGGGAAGGGCAGGAAGGCAGAGGACCTCGAGCCATGATCATCCTCTCTTTGGGAGGAAAACACCAGGTCAGTTTAGTCAGGGGAAAATGCACTGCTCTGAGGTAACTGTGGCATAGCTAAGCTAAGGGTAGTTTAATTGCTACTTCTTTTTCTTATGACTTTTACAAAGAGATGTATCTATGCTCTCTCTTTTTGATACTTATGCATTTTTTACCTTTATGGGGCATATTTGTTTTTCAAGATAAATGGATGAAACAAGGCACTTTTCCTTTTGCATGTCAAATCAATAAACTGGTTTCTAAGAAGTTGAGCAAGTTCCCCTGCTCCCCAGCCCATCCTAGGGGGAAATAACAGTATCAAATGGACATAATTCGGTGAAGTATCTCACAGCACCACATGCACATCCCCTCTTGGCCCTTCTCATCAAGCAGAAAACCTGTCCTGAGGTTTTAATTTATTCTATTAAATTATAACTGTGAGCAGCTGAGAGAGGCCAGAAAAGTTTGAGTAGCATGACAAGAGCCTGGAAAGAGCAGCAACATCACAAAATCGGGTGAAAAATTTGCTGAGAATGAAGAAATGCAAGGCCAGAAGGAATGCTAGGATTGCCAGGTGCTTCAGCTCAGAGTTTGGATTTTGGTCTAAAAGGTTCCCCTACATCACCACAGACACCTGCGAGTTGCGTAGCTCCTGCGGGGAATCTTTTTAAAGATGTGGGATGTTCCTGGATCCCCTGTGGAGGGAGAAGCAGTGGACTCAAGGTAGGCCTTTGAAGGGGAAAGGCAAGGTCCTGCAGGCTCGTGACATGTGGAAGGAGGTGTGACAGGCCTCAATGCCTTTCTTTGCATGATGAGCTGCTTTGACTGAGATCTGTTTTCTTTGACATAAGCACTAAGTAATCTGAGAAGTGGTCTGAGATTCCACAGGTTTTTACAGATCTGGTTTTATTTTGGTATAAAATGAGATTATGCATAGCTTTGCGTTTAATACATATTTTAAATGGACTGTGATAATGGAGCGCAGTCCTTTTCAGTCAGTCTAACCTGAAGAGCACAGAGAGTTTATAATAAAAAGAAATTAGAGAAACGTGGGGTTTTGGTAGATTTTTGTAAAGTATCAGCAAAGTAAAGAGGCTGTCTTGTGCTGAACTTCTTTCTGTGTGCCCCTGAATTCGTGACTGCTAAAACAATCCTGCTAGCTAGCAGATTAGATTAGAATTGTAAAAATGAAATAAAATGTCAGCTAGGTGAACGATCCGCTACCAGGGGTGTTGAAAAACAATCCTGAATAGAAATAGTCTAGGCCCCAAGTAACAAAATTACAATGACAGATGATAGTTTAATGAGGTGATCCATAGGAGAGTTCTTGGTAGGTTTGCAGTCCTGATGCTTCTCACAGCACTGGCTGGCACGTTCGGTGGGAGGCGGCAGAGGGGATTTGAGATGAGATTTCTGTCTGACGACTGTCAGTTTTGCAGGAGGGCTGCACAGTTTGCTTTCTGTAGCACACGGTGTAAAGCTGTGTTGTCTGTATGTGTTAGGCAGTTTCTTCACATTATATAGCCATACTAGCTTTCAAATGTATATTTTATTTTAAAGGGTTGTAAAGCAACAAGCTTTATCTCTACTTTGTATTCAGATTTTTAATCCAATTCTGTAAGCACTGAGGACTTTCAGATCTGATTCTCAGTGTCTGAAAGTTGGCAGATTGACAGCTACAGGTTGATTAAAGAAACACGGTGAAATTGAAGGAAGAGATACACTCACTGCGTGCTCAGAAGTAGCGAGTTCCCGCATAAGCAAACCTTTCAACTGAACTACGTGATCCTGCACTGAAGAAGAGGAAATGCAGAGCTGTAGGCCTGCAGGCAGACAGGAGCGGTTTTCTCTACCGATTGAGGTATTTGGGTTTTGAGCACTGATGTATTGACTAGAGACAAGGAACCAATAGACAGCAGCAAGCATTAGCTATCAGATATCTAGGCTGATTAGTAGGATGAGGTTGGAGGTGAAAGGTGCCCTGGTGTCAGCGTGCAGTTGACGCTCTGCCAAGTGTTTCCTGTTTTGTATAAGGGCGTTCGTAGAGCACAGGTGATAGGGCAAAAGGGAGAAACTTTGTCTCACAAAGCAACCCTGATCCCATAACGATATTTTCTTTGGGAAAAAGCCAAGCTTTTGAAAATAAACAAAACAAAGCTGTTTAATTGGAGTGTCATGTATTGTCTGTCTTTATAAAGCAGCGTTAGTTCTGATCCAAGCTGGTTTACCAGAGCAGTATGGAGGGACACACTGGGAGGCAGCTCTAGGAGGTCCATCTGCTTGCATTAGGCTAGCACAGCAGCTACACTTGCAACATATCAGGCAATAAATCTCATGCTTAAGAGCCGGTTCAGTTCCAGAAGCACGTTGTTTCCCATCAGAATGCAAACCGAGAAAGGACAGGCTGCAGCAGAAGCAGCTTTACTGCCCATAAATTCAACCTAAGAGTGGTTTGGGGTTTGTAGTTGCTTTCTGTCCAGTCAAGGGAAGATGGGAATAAGTTTGAGACGTCACAGGAAGTCTGTAACTCATGCTAGAATATGACTTCACTGCTGAGCTTTGCTTTTACGGGAGAATTTATTTGGATTGTCCTGTTGCCTCTCGTGATCTGAACTTAGTAGACACAAGTATGCAACCTTGAACATGAAGGCAAATGTTGCAACCAGTGAAAAGCCTCTCTATTAGATGGCAGAATAATTATTACCGATTTTCATGAGCTATATTGATTTGAGTGTAGAATTTATTAGTTGGTATCTGTAACACACTGTAGTATTAAAATTCATCAATACAGGTCTCATAAATGCCAATATGTAACAGCAGGTGCTGCTGTAATTTAGTGAATCATTATAATTCCTATTTAGTAAATCAGTTGCCATCACTGTTAATGTTTAATTTGTGAGTTAGTGCATCACCCAGCAGTATAAGAGAAATGAGGCTGTAAACACATTTGCAGTAAATATGATATAAATACTGTGACTCCTGCTATTCAGTACATCCCATATGTTAGCTGTTGATAACTATGATTTTTCTATAAATACAACATTGTACCTTGACCTTTAGAAGGAAGAGAAGTAAAATTGAGAAATTTACTGTGATAAATATCTTCTAAAGGAAAAAGTGAAAAAGATCTGAATTTAGGAGTGGGCAAGGGGAAGGTTTATTAAAGATAAGTAGTTGCTTCTCTTAACGTGATTTAGCACCAGGATGAGTTCTTAGGACTTGATGCAGGTTAAACAGGACATTCTGGTCACGAACATGTATTTGTTAAGGAGGGAGATTTCTCCTGACCCGAGCAAAAATGTCAAGTCTTGATTTAGGTCAATTTGGATAGGATGTCAAGAGCTCCCAACCTTATGAGAGTGTTGTCACCCAAAGGTAAATTTGTAAACCCTGTGGAAATATCTGGCCTCGCTTGCATCTGCTGAGCTTGGGTGACATGGCAGCATACCTGCAGCACCACTGGCTTCAGATGCCTCTTCCTGAGACTCTTGGCTGACTTTTGAAGCCTGTTCTGTGATGAGAGGATTGCTGCTGCCCATGCTAGCTACCTCCTAAATTGTGGAGGGAATCCATTTTGTGTGCCCTGGTTCCAGGAGGTGGTGCTGCTCAAATTACTGGCCAAGTTCTGTCCCAGGACAAATTGTGCCACCTCACACAGCAGCAGTGGCCTTTCTCTGTGCTGTGGCATGACAAGCAGCAGTTGGGTGACAGACAGGCATCGTCTACCTGGCTGCACAGTCTGGCTTTCCACATGTCCCCCACGTGCAGATGGCGTCCCAGTGGCAGCACAGAGGCTGTGTCCGAGGGGCTGTCAGGAAGGCATACTGCACAGAGAGACCTCAATCCAAGGAAGAAAATTGTACTGTAGTTGCTGTTACTTAAACTATCTCCCCCACCACTCGAGAGAAATCTGTCCAGCGTTTGCTCTTCTTCTCCCAAGTGCAGTAAGTGGCATGCAAAATAGTCCTGAGGATTAAGATTTTTTTCCCTGGTTATTTACAGATAATATTAATTTAATCTAGAGGAGCTTGCTCGTGATTTTCTTGCTACTGTATTTTTTTATGCAAGAGAAATCACGTGTTTGCTAAAATACCTGGCTCCTGAGCACATCATCTTTGCAGCTCTCTTTGATTACAGCCAGAGGTGAAAGATGCTTCAGCCTTGCTGTTCTTAATGTCATGCCACACAGGATATTAGCAGCTTCTCTTAGTCTGAATGTTTACTAATGATAAACAGCTTTTTTATGATAAGCCTTCCGTTTGTGTTGACAACGTCCTGTTGTCTGTATAATTCATCCTTTTCTCCAGCTCATAAACCGTTA